GGGACCTTTAAGCGGCGGTAATATTATAATGAGATCCCTTTGCCACATCACCAAGGGAGCGAAATCAGACGCGCTCTTTTTTTTCCAGAGGCTTGCAGAAAAAGGCTTCCCAAAACAAAGTTACTGGGTTAATCTTTTTCACGTTTCCTAGGTTGATGCACTGGGGACCTGATTATGGCACTTAAAACCTGGAAAAGTCCGATTTTCATGATATGTCACCTTTAAGATTGCTTGCAACAAGAAATAAACCCAATTTGAATGAATAAATAAATGTGCGTGTGTGAATGAATGGATGTTCTTTGTCTGAAACTCAGGACTACCATTCAATGAGGTCTACTGTGCTAGCAAATTTGCAGTAGAGGGTGCTTGTGAGAGCCTGGCTATACTGCTCCAGCACTTCAATATCCAGTGAGTATTATATGTGCACAACTACATTTGCATAAGCAAATGGAACCATTTTGCTTATTAAATGTTCCAAAATGATCCTCAGATAAATTGCTACACTATCCTAAATCCATTACATCTCTCCCATGCTGCAGTGTGAGCCTGATTGAATGCGGACCAGTCAACACAGACTTCCTGATGAACCTGAAGAGGACTGAGCCCAGCGAGGAAGCTCTGGAGGTTGATGCGCACACACGCAGCCTGTATGATCAGTACCTGCAGCACTGCCAGTCTGTGTTCCAGAATGCAGCTCAGGACACCGACGACATCATACAGGTACTACAGCAAGCCGCCAGCCTCTGAGTGAGCGTGAAAGAGAGAACATCTGATTCTGAAAGATCAGGGCTTGATTCAGAGGCAAATAAATAAACAGATATGAAATATTGATTTGGGTTTAATTATTTTAGAATTTAATAAATCAAAATGTTTATAAATTAATCTTAAAGCTTTCGATAAGAACAAACAATTGGCCTAGCAAAACGATGAACAACACAACAATAATATTAATATTACAGTAATATATTAAAGTAATGTTCATCCTCTTTTTTTTTTTTTTAACTCCTCTGAGGTCATTTTCACTATAATAGCACATTTAATGAATGGCTATGGTCGTCTTCATTGTGTTATTTAGTTTATTAATATTTTGTTAACAAGGGATTTGTGTTTTTAGAATTGATTTTAATATTGTTTTTATTTTTAAGTAAAAAGATCAAATTAGACCCTTGGGGTAATTGTAAAGAATTGGAAAGAATAGAGGTATGTTGTTATTATAGTGTGAAACTTAGAATATATAAAATGACTTTTGATATTATTATTATTAATCCATCTACTATCTACCTACATACAAATGTTGATATTCAGGTATGTCTATATCTATATATCTATCTATGTTGAAAATATTGTTTTATAAGGTATTCTATACTACACACATATACCATGACCATTTTAGCATGTTCTTGTCTCTATTGTTAGGTGTATATGGAGGCGATCGAAGCCCAGACTCCATTCCTCAGATATTACACTAACAGAGCCCTGCTACCCATGAGCAGCCTCAAACTCACCTCCATGGATGGCTCTCAGTACATCCGAGCAATGAGCAAACTCATCTTTTCTGCACCCAATACAGATCCACAGATATGATGCTTATACATCCTATACGATTCTTTTCATAAGCCCTGAGGTATGAAACACACTATATTCACAATTTCAAAATGCTGACATATTAAGCTTTCGGCTGAAACTAGTACTGCAGTGTTTCTAATAGCACTTTATGCTAGAATCACTAACTCTTAATAACTGTGATTTGTACAACACAGAACCAGTGAAAATAAAGTCTTTGTGTTTTTCGTCTACTTCTGTATTCCTCAGTGTTGAACTCTGTACAGAATTTCATCTCAAGGACTGTCTGCCTCTCTCGCACAAGACCACCATCAGTGTTTCACATTTTTCTTCATTTGTTTACTAGAACAGTGAGGCCAGAGCACACCAAACCTATGCAAGGTCATTATTTTGCTCTATTTTGTGAGTGTTTCATTCAAGGACACTGTGAACTGGATCACATGCCAATGTCACCGATGCGATTCCCAGCACATCACAGGTTCACAGATGCCTTACACCTTCATTCTGGTATTTATAGATCTACAGCCTATATATATATATATATATATATATATACACACAAAAATAACTATCTGCTTAACCTAAACTTAGTCAGTTATGTGATAATTTGCAAAAGGTAACAGGAAGTTACCATTCCTTTGCCCTGCTATTTCCCACTACAATACAGTGCCCAGAAGACAGCAGAGATTGTTCATTGACAGAGTGCAATAACATACACACATTGACGTAGTAATTTGCGTATTCTGACGATGTCCAGTCTAAGTTGAGGACTCTGATCAGGGACTATTGAAGAGGATTAGGTCTAACACGAGAGATTTTGGTGAGACAGTCACATAACCAACTTAAGCCACTTAATGCAAGGATCATCGCAATGCATGTGGTTCTAGTTCTTGGGTTTGAATTAAATCAAAGGATCTTCACATTTGTTTAAAGTCATAATATATCTAGTTTCAGTAACCAACAGAACACAATGAACTGTATTGGCCTTGTAAGAAAACAAGACTATATCTGACACTGTGAAACTGTAACTGGGCCATTTTAGCAGCTGTGTTTGTTCTTTACTCTTAAAAATAAAGGTTCCAGAAGAGAATTTTTGCAGCAATGAAAACCCATTTTTGGTTCCCCAAAGAACCTTACAGTCAACAGTTCTTAAAAGAAACATTGAGGAATAGACTATTTTAATAATTTAAAGAACCTTTTTTCCACAATAAGGAACATTTTGTATAATAGTGAAGGTTCCATGATTGTCAAAGATTCTTCATGGAATCATCATTGCCAATAGAGAACCTTTATTTAGAACTAGTGTTAAGCATGTCTTAGACAAAGTATTCAAGTGTGCTCCTTTGTGCACTGATCAAAGCCAAATATTTAAAATGATCAGGTGTGTAGAGCATTCAGTGCTGACATAACTCTTTATACTGTATTGCATGCAATTGCTGCTGTCTGCACTAGGCTGATATAAGTGATATAAAGTACAGGTGTATCATTTACTATATATGTGTTTGCCATGTGTACCGCAGAGCCAACTCACCTGAAATTGTGGACTTTGATCTGACTGTGAGAGCCCATTTTCTACATCAACACTGTTCTAGCAACGTCATGGCTGATGTCAATCCAGTTATTGCACAACAGAAATGAGTTGCACTTTGCAGCCCTGTACTGAATGAAAAGTTAACATTTAAGCCCCTCTGTGGCATCACCTTCATTCCAGCAGCCAATCACTGTGGTGATTTACTGCCTCTGCCTTATCTGGATTATTCCTGTTCCTCTTTATGGGTTAATGACATGTTGGGTCAGGCTCGGACAGAAGCACATGATTCCTCTCCTCCAGACGTTTAGCATTTGAAAGGATTCCTTAACCTCGTTGCCTGTGTTCTTGACAGGTTACGGCCAATATTCTCTGTAAAATATATGTAAACATAACACGTGCACATGAAAGATAATAAATGAATTTAATCTAATGTTCAGGGCAAATCATCTTTTTAAGTTAAGCAATCAGGATGCAATTCCCACAATAGATGACTTGAAATTTTTTTATATATATATATAAGGAAAGAGAATGAAATCTTAAAGGCTGAAATTATTGAAATAAAGAGTGTAGGAACAAGTATTTTGGCATAATCTATTATTAGATTAATATTAATAAATAGTAAATGGTACATTTTGTTTTATAATTTAAGGACAAATAAAAAAAAATTGTGTGGCATAACCTACCTGCAGGAAACAGTATTGTTGACCCTCATGACTCTGAAGATCATTGCTTTATTATTATTATTTTTACATAACAAATATATCAAATTTGGACTTTTTACACCTGAAAGCCTATTTGTTCATCTCAAATAGAGTAACCTTAGTAAACTTCTTGTTATACTTCATAACTCATGATTGTCTTATTTGTTGTAATAATAATAATAATAAATTACCTTTAATGCAGTATATGATGTCTTTGTAATTTAATATCTTTGCAAATAAAATATTTTAATTGATAGTTGCACACCACATTAAATCATTAAGTTATTAAATGGATTTTACGGTATATAGTTTTTTTCCCTTAAAGAAAAAGAAAAGAGAAGAAAAGAAAACTCTTTGTGTACACTAACACAGTTGTTCTTAACCAGGGGCCCCAGCAAACGTCCATGGGGGGCCTCAGAGTGACTTAAAATGATTTAAAGTCGGCATGAAATGGAAATTGCTATTGCCTTTTCTTCCCTATTGTAGAATATATCAGAGTGAAACAGCTTCTCGGATGTTGGGAAAAAAATGTAGTTTATTCATTCTTTCAGCAACTGGTTCCCACCATGTTCTTGGAAAACCTGGATGTATGAGGTAGCCTAATTTAAAAAGTGTGATTTCTTGGTCTCATAGGCCTACCTCTATGGGTGTTATGCTTTTATTAGCATACATTTTTTTCTGCTAAAATCTATATTGGGTAGAAATCCTCATCTTTAAGCTTTATTCACTAAATCATAAAACAGCATAAAAAGTCATTGGGCCTTCTAATATTGTTGTGAACAATGGGGGGCTTTGGATTGAAAAGGATGAGAACTACTTCCCTAAAGCGCATAATTCTCCTTGTTCCAGACAGTCAATGACGCGCCAAAGAGAACCCCCTGAAGGTGAATAACTTCATGAGCGCCTAAGCACCTGTGGGAGCCGGTTCTCAACTCCTCCCCTCAGAGCGTCACTCTACAGCTCTGCCCTTAATAGTGAAGTCACTCCACTATCGTTCAGTTCCAGCGGAGCCGCCGCTTATTACGGCCATTGACACAGTTATCATTGCGCAGGGATTTTTCGGAAAAGCTCCAGTGATTTTACAAGCTTCCAATAGCACAAATGGCAAAGCAGGCCACTTCGCTTTTAGTCCGGGGACTCCGGGCTCTGGAGATGTCAGAAAGACAGTCGTGCGGTGTCATGAGGAGAAACTCCAACTGCACCATCAGGTAAAACCGCGTCTCTCAGCCTGTACTTGATATTGAGAGAGAGAGAGAGAGAGAGAGAGATCCCTTTTGTTAATAAATCATTAGTCGAGAATCATTAGTCGAAATAATTAAATTATTTAGGCTGTTATACCTGAACAAACCACCAAATGCGTACTGACTAGCTCAGAAAATGGCCGGGTGCCTTTAGTTTCATTTACTGTTTTGTTCAACAACTGTAGCCTACATGAATATATGCGTCCAGTATTAATTTTAAATGGTTGTACTGGTGAAAACCTGCTGAATTGAGCGACTGTGTTGCAGGTAATTGTGAATTGTGTAGGAATGTTGAACAAAGCAGAAGAGCAGCTAGTGCTGGTGTAAAATAACTCACAGGGGAGTGCGAAGTCACGAGACGGTGAAACTGAAAGAACTGTTGTCAGCGGAGACTGAGAGTACCGAGAGTGCCAGATCTGTCAAATATGCCCGATGCTATAACGTAACTATAACATAAAGCTTCAGAAAATGGCCGGGTGCCTTTAGTTTCATTTACTGTTTTGTTCAACAACTGTAGCCTAAATTAATATATGCGTCCAGTATTAATTTTAAATGGTTGTACTGGTGAAAACCTGCTGAATTGAGCGACTGTGTTGCAGGTAATTGTGAATTGTGTAGGAATGTTGAACAAAGCAGAAGAGCAGCTAGTGCTGGTGTAAAATAACTCACAGGGGAGTGCGAAGTCACGAGACGGTGAAACTGAAAGAACTGTTGTCAGCGGAGACTGAGAGTACCGAGAGTGCCAGATCTGTCAAATATGCCCGATGCTATAACGTAACTATAACATAAAGCTTTTATCCAGTAAATTAAGTTTGTTTTTAAAAGATTCGAAGTATTCTGATCGGAACGTGTAGCGTGTGCATCATTTGAATAACGCAGAGCTTCTGGCCGTGTGCCATACAGCGGTGAAACGGGTTTAGCTGTATTGATCGGCTGCTCTTTACTATTTACTAGAAAGTACGTCATTTTACCGGGTCAACACAGAAATGTCTAAAAACACTGCGTCACATCGTCTTTTTTACATTTGTTGTGAACAAATCTGTCAACATGCAAATTGCATGATGCTGCCCTTTAGAGACATATGACAAGACTGTGAATAATATCCAGGTATTCTGCTTTTGTCAGGTAATAACAACTTCTGTTTCTATTTTAATTTTTTTGTAGACATTTGAGCTCATGTGGTATCTTAGTTACAAGGCGGGTAAGCTTACCTCCTCCAGCATCTTCTCAGATGGTGCCCACCCGGAGCTTTATTAACTTGTCAGCCCCCCTCATAACGCGGAGAATGGAGTACTCAGAGAGCCGGAGCATTGGGTACGCACACACCACTGTTACATAAAACCATAACATCTTCACTTTAACTACAAGGTAATTCTCATCTAGCAATATCCTTGTTGACACAAGTTGATTTTCCCTCTAGTTACTCAACTGAGCAGATGTACAACATTGTTGCCAATGTGGACCAGTACCAGCAGTTTGTGCCTTGGTGCAAGAAGTCAAAGGTAACGAGGGGGCGGAATGGGGACATGAGAGCTCAGCTTGAAATCGGGTTCCCCCCGATCATTGAACGGTACACCTCTGAGGTCACAGTCATCCCGAACCACCAAGTCCGAGTGAGTCTAAAAACAATTTGTAAATTAGACAACAGTTTCAATTGGGAATGCTAGACATTATTCTCGTTTTAACAAAAAGAGGTTGTGAATTTTAAGAGATTTGAACTAGATTCATGTAGATTAAGTGGTATTGATTTGATGTTTGTCCTAAGCCAACAAAACATCAAAATGTCCATGCATCATAGGATCAGCTTACATATTGGCCTAGTAAGCTGTCAGTGGCCGTCTGTCTGAAGTATGTGCTTGTGTTTCAGGCGGTGTGTACAGACGGGATGCTCTTTAATCACCTTGAGACATTGTGGAGATTTACTCCTGGAGCTGCAGGCCAGACCGAATCCTGCAATGTAGAGTTCTTTGTAAGTAGTGCAACTGGCAAATACAGAGACACGCACACACTATTACGGTCTACATTCTTCAGTTTGACACTTATTTTACTCGTGTTCCTCCTCTTTGGTGGTTTAATCCCATAATTTCTGTTCAAAGTGAGCAGAGGTATTAGACCAGATTAGTGCTATTTATACCACATGTGAGTTGCCTTTCCGGTTCTCCTTAAATAGCCAGTAACGAAGACAGGCATGATAACTATTCCTTTGCTGGAGGGAACTGTACGACCTAAATGTCACCAGATTAGACATGGGGCGATGGACATCACAGGATGGAGACAGGGATTTGGGAGATTAAAGGACCCATTGATTAAAAAGAATGAAGACTAAAACATGAATGAATGTTAGCAGTACAAAGCCCTTGTTAATTAGGCAAAAAAAAAAAAAACTAACTCAACTAAACTTTAGCGTCAAAGCTCACTATTTCAAATCATACAGTACATAAATAAGCTAACTTTTTGGTAAAAAAAAATTTGCAAATTTGACCAATATGTGTTTTCCCTCTCTAGGTGTCATTTGAGTTCAAATCTTTGCTCCACTCACAATTAGCGACAGTATTTTTTGAGCAGGTGGTCAAACAGATGGTCAACGCTTTCGAGACGCAAGCAACCAAACTTTACAGCACCGGCGTTCATCGACAGAAGACTTCACTCAGAAGAGCAACTTGAGAACCTTGTTAAAACGGACACAAGGACATACATAACCACAAATATTGTTCAAATGTTTTGGAGAACAACAGCTCCTCTTTTTTTAATCCAGTTTGTTGGATTTTGGACTGTTAATGCCAGCACATATTTTTGCTGGGAAAAAAAAGACATTTGAGAAGCCTATTTATTTAAACCAAAACAGATATAATTTATTGTGATAAGCGTGTGTGTGTATAATTTATATAATATCTGTGGACTGAAAGAGTAAAAAGTGTTGAAGATGGATGCTTTTTCATATTTATGATCATTATATTCATAAGGTTGACCAAAGGGAAACAAAATCATCTCTAAATTATTATTGAGTGCACTCTTTCCAGACTTGTAATAAAGCAATAATATATTTTCTTAATACTGTTTTTGTCATGATTTGTCAGAACCACACAACACTAATCATCCAAACTTAAATCCTTTTTTAAAAAAAGAAAGAAAAAACAAACAAACCGTGGGTTATAACAAAGGGGTATAAGAATGAACATTAAAATCTTCAAGATTTTAAGAAGCACAATCGATTTCTTTAATAGGTTCCATACCCAACCCATAACCCGGTTTTCTTCATAAAATCTTGCAACACGTTCATATACAGCAGCTACAGGACATAATAGGTATGAAGCACTTTATGTTCTTTTGTGAGTTGTGTCCTTTCTTTCATTCAGGTTATGTCACTTGCCGGTATTCCTTCAATATTATCCACAATCACAATATGCCAAACTCTTCAGTCTTGCAAATGATCTGAAACAATACACTATGCTTCCTACATTTCAATGACAGCAACTATTTTACACGTTATATTGGCATTATGTGTATGAGCCTCACAGTATCACATTCAAAATGCTCCTTCAGTGCGAAGTCTTGAGGGTGTTCCAAGAAACTCACATGACTTCTGGATCACTTACATAAACCACGGCTGCCAGAAGAGACTACACCCCTTTCTGTCTAAACAGCCAATTCCTTCCTGTTCTTCAGTGCGGGCTGATCACAGATTAGCTGAGACCTCCACCAGAGGTGAGAATATTTTCTTACACACACCCTGACAGCAAATGTGTCCAACAAGATCCAGATTGACAGTTTGTTGTTCTGTCTATATATACACATCACATTGTAACTCAATGAGTTTCTAACTATAGCTCAAGTTATGTTCTCTGCAAACTCCTGAGTTACAAGATAAATTAGCCTATATCTCTAACTAATTTGTCCTGTACTTCAAAATTGCATAATACTGCACAAAGATCGCAAAACAAATACTGTATATTATGTTTATATTTGATTCATATCATGTGGCATCCCAGGATGCTGTCTGGCGCAGACTGCAGAGTAATTCAGTTATATGATAGCTGATCATAGCTGGGCATTTTTCTCTGCGTGGTTAAAGTGGCATCGACATATTCAACCATTCCAGATTGTGTAAAGTAAATATAATTTCATATCAGTTGTTTGAAACTATATCTTTACACTTTCTGAAGAAAATGTAAGGCTGATGATACACGCCACGGGGCAACTTTTTGAGCAACGTTGCCGTCAATGGGCAACTAGGTGAGACAAAGTGCCCATGACTGATCTAAAGTATCCAGAAAGAAATTTGTTACCCATTCTCAGTGGGAAAGTGCCCAAGCATCGAAAAAGTCGAAAAAAAATCGAAAAAAATCTGAAGCCAGATTAGTGCCATCTGGTGGGAGTAAAATTAGAAAAACTTCTGCAATTCCATGGTTTAGCCCACAGATTCCTATATAGCTTTATATAAAAGGCCTATAAATTCTCTAATTGTTTTTAGACATAAATACTTATTTTTATTAAGTTGTGGGTTTGGATATATATTTAGACATTCTCAAAGACAACTTTTTGTAAAGGTTTAGATTTTTTTTTGGTTTGAAATGTTGATTTGAAGCGTCAGTTTTTGAATTTTTATTACTACAGTCAAACCTGAACACAGAGAAAGCATTTTGTTACACAAAACACAATTCTATAAAAATGTAACAAAAATGAACAGAAATGTTTTATCAGAGCTTAATCCTTCTGGGTTTGATCTGATTTCAACCTCTTATTTCAGTTTTCTCGTTTCTGGCTATATGGTTATAGCCATACCAATTAATTTGAGTGTGTATAATTGTGTATGTTTGTGTGCGTCTCTGTGAGTGTTTGTAAGTGAGTGTGTCTGTTTTGCACTCTTGATGTTTTATAGTGTAACCTCTTCCTTGCTGTTCACTTTTTTACTGCATTGTAGTTGAATTATTGCTTTTATTTGACATATTTGCTGTGTTACAGTCACACCAGTTCATAGGTTTGTGTGTGTATAAGTGTGTGTGTACGCGTGTGTGTGTGTGTGTGTGTGTGAGTGGATGTGTTGTTTTTGCACTCTTGATGTTTTATAGTGTAATCCCTTCCTTGCTGTTCACTTTTTTACTGCATTGTAGTTGAATTATTGCTTTTATTTGACATATTTGCTGTGTTACAGTCACACCAGTTCATAGGTTTGTGTGTGTATAAGTGTGTGTGTACGCGTGTGTGTGTGTGTGTGTGTGTGAGTGGATGTGTTGGTTTTGCACTCTTGATGTTTTAGAGTTCACCCTGTCATTGCTGTGTACTTTTTTTCATTGTGTCAGATTTGTAGAAAAATTCTCAGAATTTTTGTCGATTTCCCATTCATTTCCTATGGTCGGTCATTTCTGACCGAAGACCACAAGTGTGACTATATTTTTTACGACCACTTAGTCCACTCGAATCATGCCCTCAATTTTTGGGTGTGTTCACATTCCAAGTGCCATAAAAGTCACCAATTTTCGTACCATTCCAATGAAGCTGTGATTTAAAAAAAATTCAAAACAGTGACCGAAGAGCACCAGTTAAACATTTAGACAAAGTCTTATAAATATATAAAAGTTTGCATATGTGTTCTTTGTTGCATATCATGACACATCAAGCTTTTATGACTCATATAGTATATGACAAAGGAAAATATGGAGCTCATACTCGGAGAAAAAAAACACTTCAGTTTTATTCAGAGGCCCATACTGAGAAAACAAATATGTAATTTGCAATTCATGATATTCATATGATCAAAAAGTAAGATAAAATTCTGACAGCTTGTAATCAATAAGATCTTTATAACAATATAGTAGACTAAAAAATGCATATAAATATCAGCTGTCACTTTACATCTCCCAATAATTTTTCTTAGCAGTGTTCATAAAACCAAGCAGTTAACTTAAATATCATCTTACTCTGTGTTTTTTTCCTTTGGGGCAAAACATAATGCAATGCAATACAATGATGATTGAGAGATGCACAAATAAACGTTTCTCAACACTCATATTTTAACATGGGTTTACTTTATCATCTATTCATCATTTTTAGAAAAATGAAGTTGCTTCATCTTAAAATATTACTATCAAGTTATTCTTAAGTTTACTTTAAAAAATCATTAAAGGTTCCACAACAAAAAGAAATGTGTACCAGAACCTGAAGGGCAACATTTTTAGAATTACACTAAAAGGTCTTAAAGGGACAGTTCACACAAAAATGAAAATTCTGTCATTAATTACTCACCCTCATGTCATTCCAAACCCGTAAGACCTTCGTTCATCTTTGAAACACAAATTAAGATATTTTATATGAAATCCAAGAGCTTTCGGACCCTGCATAGACAGCAATGCAAATGAAATGTTCCCAGACCCAGAAACGTAGTAAGGACATCGTTAAAGCACGTGCATGTGTTGTTTACATGCAGAGGAAAGCATGCACGTGTGTCGTGATACTCTCCATAATGGCGGCAGACAGGATGAAGAGGAGAATAATTGTTGAATGAGTTGTTATTTTTGTTTTCTTTGTGCGCAAAAAGTATTCTCGTAGCTTCATAAAATTACAGTTGAACCACTGATGTCACATGGACTGTTTTACCGATGTCCTTGCTACCTTTCTGGGCCTGGGAACATTTCAGTTGCATTGCTGTCTATGCAGGTTCAGAAAGCTCTTGGATCTCATCAAAAATATCTTAATTTGTGTTCCAAAGATTAACGAAGGGCTTATGGGTTTGGAACGACATGAGGGTGAGTAATTAATGACAGAATTTTAATTTTTGGGTGAACTATCCCTTTAAATTGGCTATCAGACTGGCATGTCATCAGAGTTTTCAGCAAAGTTTTGATCATGATAATTTAGCGACCTTATTTATTGAATTTAGGTCATATAATAATATTTTGTGTGCATGCTTTCAATTTATTTCAAGATAAATAAAAAACAGATTTTGAAGCATATAAATCTGTCATTCTAATGCTTGCCTTTAAGGTGACATAAGAAAAACACTTAAACACTGATTTCAGATGTTTTATGCATTTACAACTAAGATGTGTTTTTGCATACACATGAAATAATATGTTTGCAGGCACAGCACCTCAGAATCTTCTCTCACACACAGCTCAGTTAGCATGCTAGGTGTCTCTATACAATCCCTAGGGTTCATAATCTCTATCCGTGGCCAACATTTGATCTTATTTTGGGCTTGTCCTGGGGTAGACTCAGGGTGCTCATCACGGTCGCGGCCTTAGATAGCTGCAGGTCGGCAGTGTACCCTGATCCTGTGACATGCAAGGACAGATGCACTGACTGCACGTCTCACTCTGCTTTGAACACATTCTCCCTCCTGACCTTGCATGATACAGCACACAAACCTTTACTGGTATTGGATTTCTCAATGGTATGGAATATAGAACAGCAATGCAGAGGTTTTACTGCAAAAGGATTATTAAAGAATGCATCATAAAACGGTTATATTTGCAGACAGACCATTCATAATGATATAGTTACTTTGCATGAATTGGTCTGCTTATGCTGCTCCACGCCTAGTCACAACTAAGTGAGACTTTTAATAGACCCAAGTCATTTTCCACAACTTAAAACTTTCAAAATAGAGTTTTCATCTTTTTATTTTTATCATCAGCTGAACAATCAGTATGTTGTTAAACAGCAGAACAATCTCCTGAACTGAACGAGTTGCACTTATTCCTCACAGACTCGTTTTCATTCCTCTCAAAAAATAAATGTGGCACATCCATGACAAAGGTCTATCATCTAACAGAAGAAGAGTTAGGCTAGTTTTCAGAAAGTA